TCACTTTATAAACTAAAGATTATTTCTATGGTTATTGATCAATTTAGAAGTCAATTCACATTTTAATTATAATTTTTTATATTTTTTGTTATCTAAAATAATTAGTAACTATATTTTTTTCTAAAATGAATCATTTTTCTTATAGTATTAAACTATCTTATACACAAACATAATTTGTAGAGAATAATAAACTATATGCATGATAGTTTTATCAGTAAAGTAACAGTTACTTGAGCAGCATGTTTCCTCAAAACCAATTTACTCCTTTTTATTTTTACACAAGAATTGTTCATTTCGATCTTTTCTTTTCTTTTATTCATAATCATTGCCATTTCCATTTTCTCAGAAGCTACAGATGATACACATAAGATTCATTATATCATATGGAAAGTCATTGTACATCTGACATAGTAATTCCCTCGTACATCAAATTAAGTTTCTCTTTTTGTTATCTTAACCTTTAAACCATTCTTCATCAGAAGAACAACCGAAAGATTTGGCGTCACAACAGAACCTTCCACCACTCCGACATGATAATTGCGCAAAATAGCAGCTGCAACAATCTTCATTTGAAGAAAAGACAACTCTTTACCTAAGCAAGTCCTAGGTCCTGCATTAAAAGCAACGAACTTGTAAGATGGTACATAAACAATACCTCCTTTCTGTGAGATCCATCTCTCTGGCTTCATTTCCATGCAATCTTCTCCCCATATTTCCTCAAATCTTCCCATTGCATACAGTGAAAATAATATCATTGTTCTTGGATTAACACCATGACCACTAGGAAGCACGTCAGCTTCAAGGGCTTGTTTGCGTTCGAAAGGTATAGGAGGAAAGAGTCTCAATGTTTCACATATAGCACCATGCAGATAAACCAGTTTTTTCACTTCCTCTATAGTTAAAATCGATGCTGTATTTTCATTTCTTCCAATCTTTTCATTCATCTCTTGAAGAATCTTGGCTTCCACCAAAGGGTTTGTAGCAACAAGCCAGAAGAACCAGGTGAGAGCTGAAGTTAAGGTATCTCTCCCAGCCACAAAAAGATTGAACACAGCATCCCTTAGAAAGCCAGCATCGTGTTCTTCCTTCCCCTCTCTCATCAAAGTTGTCAGCAAATCAGCACAGGCTTCTCCTGTTTGATTTTCGTTGTACTTGCTTAGTTTTTCCAACTTAGACGCTATGAGTGCATGTATGAACTCATCGAACGATTTGCATGCTTCTGTCATCGTCTTCTCTCGACCAATCTGAAGCCATCTCTGCAGCTTCCAAAGACGCTTTGGCATTACATGTCTGTAGAAAATGGACTCCTCTATTTCATTAAAAGCCTTCTCGATTGCAACTTCGGGAAAATCAAGAGAAAGGCAATGAGGGTCGTATCCAAGAACTGTGGAACATATGTTGTCGAAGGTGAAGCGATTGAAGACATCTTGAAGATCCACCACGCTCCCTTGTTGTTGCACATGATCCAACACGACAAGTAGACTATTCTGCACCTTCTTCCGAATGGTTTTCTCCAGAAACACCTCGAAGCTTCTGTTTTTAAAGAGGGATTGGAAGAGATCCCTGTTATATTTCCATGCTTCTGCATCAGCAGTGAATATCCCATCTCCGAAAGCCTGAAAGATCTCACGAAACTCGGGTCCCTTGACGTAGTTGTTGAAATTCTTGCTCAAAATATGGTGCACGTTGATGGGGTCACTGGTGACCATATAGTTCATGTTTGTAAACCACGGTCCAGTGAACTCACCAGTTCCCCCATGTGATTTCAGCTTCTCAACCGAAAAATCATGGATGCGCCACAGATTGCAGAGTACCTCCGGTAGCATTCCGGTGATGGGGTAGTCGGTGAAGAGAGGGTATCTGCAACATAGTCTCCGATGGAAGAAATAGATGATGCAGAAGACTGCTGCAATTACTGCTGCATAGCAAAACATCGCTATTAGACATCAATCGACGAAACAAAAGCTATTTGGTTGTGTTGTGATGTTTGTAGCTTTGTTTCTACATCTTATATAGAATCAATTAGATATTTGTTTTAGTTGAATTATGTAGTCATTATTAAATGATGAAGGTTGTTAGAAGTTAGTGAAAAGGACGAAGGATTTGATTTGCTAAAACGGATACTCTAAGGAAAAAAATATTTTCACACATAATTTTTTTTTCTTACAACATTTTAATTTAACATATACGTTATTTTTTTGCTGATTTATTATTTTTTTTGTTATTGTGATGATTTATTTTAAATTTAATGAAAAAAGTTATAAATATATTATGTCAAAATATATGGTTAAATATTTTGATGTAACATTGCCCTACTTTTACGTGTAGACCCAATGTTTATTGACAAATACGACTGAACAAGATAATGTTATGAAGAAAATGGGCGATGATGCATTGGAAAATGACGTTTTGAAATGTGCTTTTTTTAAGGGTAATGAATAGCTCATTAATTTAAATACTAATATAATAATATCGTTTATTTTTCTTTATTTCTTTTGATTGCATATGATATACTATATCTTTTGCTTAGATATTATATATTCTCATAAATCTACACCAACTTTGTTTCTTTTTATGATTTATTTAAAATAGTGTGAATTAAATCAATATTAATATGATATGTTTTTAATATTTATTTAAATTAATATCAATTAAATTTAAGTTCATAAATATGTAAACTTTCATAATAAAGAAATATGAATAATAAATTACTTTTAATCTTAAAATTTAAGTTTAAGATAAATCTTTTCATGTTCATATTTTTTATTCAAATGTATTTTCTTCATCAACACACATCTCTTTTATTTATATTCATCTTCTTTGTCTACACTTTTTTCATCTCTTTTATCCACTATAAATTTTTTAGTTTTATATTGTATTTTGTTGAAGTACTTTTTATTTAAAATAAGTATTATTAGTTTTTATTTCTCTATTCATGCGTTAATTTTTACCAACTCTAATATATATTTTTCTTGTAGTGTTATCTCATTCAAAATTATTAGTGTAATTTAAAATTGTTGATTTTGCACCTTTTTCTTTTTTATATTTTCATGTCTTATGTATGAACATTTATTTTAACATCAATTGGTTAAGTAGATATACACGAAACCTTAACATATCATATCAATTCACATTTAAGTTTTTACAAATATCAATGAAATAAATGGCAAGTTATTGGAAAAGTTCTAAGTAAATTGAACCGTATATATGGGAGAAAAATGACTCACATTTAATGCTTTAATATATTAAGTTGGATGCAATATTAACTTCATTTGTAAATAGATTTAATATTCTTATTCTATGTTTCCATTTCATTGTATTCCAGGATCAGCTCGTAAAATAGAGAGACAATGGTCTAGGGCCTATGATTAGAAAAATATCGTAAAAAATACAGAGAATATAGTAAATTTATATTTAATTCTATAAATAAGGATTTCAGATCTTGTCCAAATTAAAATATGACACATAATTAAGAGAATATTACATTCATAAATGCTTGTTGAATGAATTGTAACTAATTAACTAAGACATAATTAACATGTAATGAATATTTATAGATTTGAAATGATCGTATATTTAACCAGACAAGTTTATCGATAATCCAAATTATTCACACCGGAAGCACTAGAATCACACTCAATGCTACAAACATAAAGAAAGGAATCACTTGTAAAATACAAAAACAAGATAAACATAAAATAAGTTAAAAGTTAAGAAGAATTTATTTTATTTTCCCTAATGTAATCACTAAAAACACTACATTTAATAACAAAAAATTTCAGTCGGTAATTATCATGTTATACACATTTAGCGACTATCGAATTTTCGATCACAAACACAAGAATTCTTTTAGTTGCAAATTCGGTCACTAAAACTTTACTTTCGTTTGATATAAACAACCATCAATTAATTAGTGACTAAAATTTAGCTATTAAAATTTTTCAATCGCTATTTTAGTCTGATCATAGATTTGCGACAAATATCATTCAATATTTAATGATTATTTCAATTACAAATAATGATAGTCACTAACCTCAATTGGTTAAGTAGCTAGTACACGAAACGTTAACATATCACATCACATATACGTTTTTACAAATATCAATGAAATAAATACCAAGTTATTAGAAAAGAAATACGAAATACGTAAGTTCAACCGTATATATATATACATGGAAAATAATCGTATTCCATTTCATCGTATTCCAGGACCAGCTCTTAAGATAGATAGAAAATGACGTTGTACCTATGATTAGAAAAAAAATCGTAAAAACTATAAATATAGTAAATTTAAATTTATTTTTATATATACCCATTTGAGATCTTATCCAAATTAAAAAATGACTACAATTAAGAAAATATTACATTCATAAAATGCATGTTAAATGAATCCCAACCAACACCTAACTAACATGCCATAGAATTGAAATTATTGTATATTAAATAACCATACAAGAAACAAATGAAACTTGAATCATAATAAAGAATGACATTGCATGATGCAGTGTTGTCCTATTGTTGATGTATAGTACAAAGAAATATACAAGACATGGATAAAAAAAATGTGACAAAAATGAAAAAGAGAAACAGAAATAGAAAAAATGAAGGAACTATAATAAAATATTATGTATAGATATTGTTTGTATAGATGCTTTTTTAGGGAATGACCAATTTTAGATAAGAGTTTCCAACAGTATTACCGGAGAAGAAAAGGCATTTTATTTTTTTGTAATACTGAAATTTGTTGTCAAATTATTATTTTCCTTAAAATTTTTACAAGCAAACTGAGAGACATAATAATAATAATAATAATAATAATAATAATAATAATAATAATAATAAAGTTAACAAATACTTAATTTTTAAGATTACGAGTTGAATGAAATATACTTTTTATTTTACTCTACCTCATCCTTAGAAATATATCTTAAAAATCTCAATAATAATTTCATTAAAATGGTAAGGTATACACACACAAATTATAGTGAAGTCATTGAAAAAGTAAATGATTATTTCCTTTTTCTTATTATCAGAGACGAAATGCTCTAATAATGATACAGACAGAACACATTACACAACCGACAAGACATACTTTTTTTACCAAGTTTGATGTCCAAATTTTCAAGTCAAACTAAAACTTTCTTTTCGTTATATTCACCTTCAAACCATCCTTCATAAGAAGAACAATGGAGAGGCTAGGAGTTGCAACATAACCCTCCACAACTTGAACATGGTAACTGCGCAAAATAGCTGCTGCCACAATCTTCAATTGGATAAAGGACAAGTCTTTCCCCAAGCAATTTCGAGGTCCTGCATTGAAAGCAATGAATTTGTAAGATGGTACATGAACAATACCTCCTTTCTCTGAGATCCATCTCTCTGGCTTCAACTCCATGCAATCTTCTCCCCATATTTCTTCAACTCTTCCCATTGCATACAAAAACAGTAATATCTTTGTTCTGGAATTAACACCATGCCCACTAGGAAGCACGTCAGCTTCAACTGCTTCCTTGCGTTCGAAAGGTATAGGAGGAAACAGCCTCAACGTTTCACACATAGCACCATGCAGATAAACCAGCTTTTTCACCTCCTCAGCCCTTAAAACTGTCTTTTCATTGCTTCCAAACTTTTCATTCATCTCTTCAACAATCTTGGCTTCCACCAAAGGGTTTGTAGCAACAAGCCAGAAGAACCACGTAAGAGCTGAAGTTATGGTATCTCTCCCAGCCACAAAAAGATTGAACACGGCATCTCTTAGAAATATATCCTCATGTGCTTCTCCTTTTCCCTTTCCTTCTCTCATCAAAGTTGTTAACAAGTCAACATGAAAACTTTCTCCCGTTTCATTTTCCTCGTTCCTGCTTAGATCTTCTCTCTTGGACGCTATGCATGAATATATGAACTCATCAAGTGTTCTACATGCTTCCGTCATCTTCTTCTCTTGACCAATCTGAAGCCATTGCTGCATCTTCCAAACAAACGTTGGCACTATGTGTCTGTAGAATATGGACTCTTCCGCTTCGTTAAAAGCCTTCTCGATTGCAACTTCTGGAAAATCAATGGAAAGGCATTCAGGGTCACGACCGAGAACTGTAAAACATATGTTATCGAAAGTGAAGCGATTGAAGACATCTTGAAGATCCACCACCCTCCCTTGTTGCTGCACGTGATTCAATAAAGGAAGTAGGCTGTTCTGCACCTTCTTCTGAATAGTTTTCTCCAGAAACACTTCGAAGCTTTTATGTTTGAGCAAGGAATGGAAGAGATCTCTGCTGTATCTCCAAGCTTCTGCATCAGCAGTGAAAATGCCATCTCCGAAAGCCTGAAAAATCTCACGAAACTCGGGTCCCTTGACGTAGTTACGGAAATTTTTGCTCAGCATATGGTGCACGTTGAGGGGATCACAGGTGAGCATGTAGTTCATACCGGTAAACCATGGTCCAACGAACTCACCAGTTCCACCGTGTTGTTTCAAAACCTGAGTTGAATAATCATGGGCATGCCACAAATTGCAAAGAACGTGTGGTAGCATGCCGACAAAAGGGTATTCAGTGAAGATGGGGTTCGTGCAACATCGTCTGAGATAGAACAAGCGTAACATGCAGAGGAGTGCTGCAATTGTTGCTGCTCCTGCATAGCCAACCAATAAGAAAGCCATGTTGTAAATATAAACAAGACATTTTGATTATGTCTTGTTATATAGAAGATTCAATCCTGATTAGATTATAGTTTATGTTACCATTATTATTTTTTATATTATCATGTTTGTCCCACATTTAAATGATGTGAGATGTTTAATATATATACAGATACGAATTATGTGAGTTGTACTTCAAGTTCATTAATGTTGGCAGACTCTGATTTGGTGGTTCTTGACTCAACACGTAGACACTTTTGGTGTGGTGTATAGGAACACTCTAGATTTGAAATTCTGAAATTCGTAAACTTGGTGTTATATGTTTATGATTGTTTTTTAATAAGATAAAGAAAGAAACAATAATTTTGAGAAGAGACAGCAATCTTCCTTATCTCTTCGTACATAATTTCGTCTTATATGTTTATTACCATTGTTTTGGCCCATCCACCAAAGCTGCAAGATGTTGGAAAAAGTATGATGTTGACGCCCTAAGCCACTGTTTCCACAGATTGTTATATTACTCACTTCTTATATATATAATGAATATAGTTATAATCACATTGTGGGTCAGAGATCAAATTGTTATCCTCCCATATAGCAGAGATTTTCACAGATTTACTGTAGATGGCAACCAAAATTATGAATATAACCTTGCATGGGGGTGAAGGAACCGATTATGTTTGGAGGGAACCGATTTCCTGGATCTTACAACCCATTCCTAATGTTAGCTAGGGAACCGATTCTCTTGCTTCTTTGTGTATATGTACCCGATTCTCATGTCTTTTATTTCCAATTTCATTTCCAAGTTTGTTTAAAATAATATTTTTTAAAATACTAATAAATTTTATAATGACAAAATTAAGTAATCGATGGTATTAATTTTTTAATCAAATATTTAAAAGTAAATTATTTTCAACCAATCATATAAATATATTATTTTTAATTAATTACACTTACTAAAATGTGTATTTTAAAAAAATACATCATATTTTTTATTAACTTAAAATGAACGTTAACTAAATTTAATTTATTTTCACTTTATTATAACTTAGGTGCAAAAGGTAATCTTATATTTAAATCTACTAATATACTTTTTTAACTTCCATGTCTATCTAATCATTCACAAATTTTTCATTTAAATCCATCCCTGTATCCCTTAATATAAATAACACCACAATCTTTTCTTCATCCTTTCAAATTCATTTACTCATTCTTTCTCAAATCATCTTTTCCAATCCAAACACACATTCTAGACATGTATATACATTCACAGAGTGAGAGAATAGATTTGAGGTAAAGTTTTGTGTTGTTTTTTTAAATGGATTTGAGGTGAATTTGAAAATGAAGTTTCTTAATGTTTATGAATGATTTAATTAATGTGATAACATAAATTGAAATTTAAAAGAAAAATACTAAAAGCCCAAAAAAAAGAGTGTAAGAGGAAAAATTGACTGCAAAAAGAAATTCAGTAATCTTGTTGTTGGGCCCAAAGATTTTTTTTTCTCTTTCTGCACCCACTGCTTAAAGAAATATAATTGTATGTGAATTACAACAATTAATGATCTCTATCTTCCATTTTTGATTTGGAATCATTGCTTTAATATAAAGCTATATTGATTTTTTTTATTATCCTTTTTTGTATAAAACAAGAGGCATCACCGTCTTAAACTCACTTTTCCAGGAATTATTGTTTGAGAATAATGATAATGAGCAAGCCTACTTTAATTTGTGGCCCCATGTTTGAACAGTTTTCATTCCTTGAAATGCATCACTAAATAGGAATCTTTTTGTTGTCCTTATGCATTCATACATATTCCTTTGTTCATATACTTTCCTTTGTGTTTGTTGGCTATAAATCACGTAAATAACATAAATTATTCATCACTAGCTAATGATGATATCTATGGAAGATTTTCATGTCTATATATTAAAAAGGGGCCAACATTTCGTAGGAACATCAAATGGTGAATTGTTGGTGAATCTTGGAGTTACGTGCATGAACTGAATTTTATGATTGCCTATGTTTCTCAATTTAGTTAATGAATTTGATGAAGTTGTAGCTAGTGATTAGTGTTGATAATTTGTGATCATTATTATTTAAATAAATGATGGAGTGCACAATTTTTTTTTTATAAATGATAGGTTTGATAGCTTTTCTTTTACTATTTTGATTATTTTTAATTTGATCTCATTTTTTTAAGAAAAAAAATGATTTTATTAAGTTTACAAGGGGAGACATGTGTCATTTGTTAAGTATGTTTCATTTTAATTCCATCAATACATTAATTTAATTGATGATGAGTAATTTATTATTTATATTATATGTCATTGACTAATATTATCAATCAATGAAATTTAAGATTGGAAGTTCTATCTTTCGTATCAATAAAATTTCATTAGTTTAAAGCTAACAAAAATATCTTTTACCAAAAAATCTTATACCAAATAAACCTGTATGAACGAAATGACTTGACAACATTTTATACAAACTTGACAATATGAGAGATGATAAGTTAAAATGTAGCACCAACGTTAGACAAATCTATAGAAGAAAACATTGTCTATGATCCTATGGTCACATTGGTGAAGGTTATTTGACAAAAAATACAAATCCCACAGGTGCCATTTTGGCAATGTCATTATGTACTATTATATACTTACATATGTATGATTTGTTGGATATATTACATCAAACAATCAAGAGTTATTAAACATTTTATTGTGTAGTTATGGATGTAAGTTAAATATTTAAAACATTCATATTTATTACATGACACATGAATATTTTTATCATTAACTTAATTCAATCGAGGTAACAAAAAAAAGCAAAAACAAAAATGTATATCATTAATAATGAAGGGACGAAAATAAATTTATTTTCTTGTATATATTGAATAAATTAAAATAAATTATTTAAGGATTATTTATATTTTTAGTTTTTAAACTATAACGTGATTTTGAAAATTGTCTTTCTCTGAAACTTTGTTTTTTTTTT